CAAGAGCAGGTGGTGCGTTCGTGGCTACGCCGACCCGGACGCAGAATCCCTCAAGGTATACGCACCCACCCCACAGGAAGAGGCGGTGCTCGTCGCGCTTCAGCTGGTGGCAGGCAAGCAGTGGACGTTGCAGATCGCAGACTGTAAAAACGCGTTCTGCCAAGCCGACCCCCTCTCCCGTCCCAACGGCAAGATTTATGTTGAACCCTGCGAGGGGGTGGGAGTTCCTCGAGACAGTCTGCTGGAACTCATAGCTCCAGTGTACGGATTGAACGACGCTCCAATCCGATGGCATCAGACTCTCACCGCCTTTCTTCGGTCAATAGGTTTCCGTCGGTCCCTTCTCGAACCCTGCCTCTGGGTCTCGCACTCCTCGTCCGGGTGCCTGCAAGCAATCATCGTCATCGAAGTTGATGATCTGATCATTGCCTGCGAGCCATCCCTGGAGGCAAGTCTCAAGAAGCAGCTCACGGACAGGTTCCATTTCGGGAAGTGGCAGCTTAAGGAGGCCGAGTATGCGGGGAGGAGAGTGCGTCAGATGCCAGACGGGCGAATCTTGGTTGATCAAGAGAAGTACGTGCTGGAACAAGTCAGGCCAATGAAGATAGACCGCGAGCGGGCCAAGCACCCAGAGCAGCTGCTGGACAGCCGAGAGCTTCGAGACTACCGGGGGTTAATCGCGAAGATTCTGTGGGTTGCTCGGCAGTCTCGGCCAGACGTCGCGGGGTCGGCGTCGATTCTCAGTGCCGAGTGTCCTCACGTGACAGTTGCGTCAGCCTTAATGGCCAATCGAGTGGCCCGACACCTCCGAGGAACGGCCTGCAACACGATCACGATCTGGCCGCTGGATCTCACGGAGGTGACAATGATCACCTGCAGCGACGCTGGCGGCCCTGGCTCTGCCAAGCGGGACGGGGCCCAAGGGGCCTGGATGATCCTGCTCGGGGAATCCCGCATTCGGCACAACCAGAGAGCACGCGTTTCCCTGCTCTCCTGGCGCAGTCAGCGCCTTCGTCGAGTCGTGTCGTCCACTCTCTCCGCGGAGACTCTGAGTCTCTCGGGGGCCCTGGCGGAGGGGCAGTGGCTCTGGTTGGTTTTCCGGGACGCTCTGTATGGCGATGTCAAGGGGCCCGACTGGTGGACCACCAGTATTGCCTGCCCGTTCGCCGTCGTCCTCCCAGACGACTGCGAGCTGGCTGTGGCATCCCAGGGGATTTCGATCGTGGATGCCAAGTCGCTGTTCGACACTCTGTCGAAGAACTGCGGGGGAAGCAAGGCGGATCGTCGCAACAGCATCGAGATGTGTATCGTTCGGGACTCCATGGTTGCCCAGAACACCGTGGTCCGGTGGGTCCCTCACTGCAAGATGCCCGCCGACACGATGACGAAAGTCGATCCGCTGAGAGGCAACTACGCCTTGGCTGATCTGATGGGGAAGGGGACTCTGGCCATCACGTGTGAGACAGGCTCTCTGGACGAGAGGTCCCTGAACGCCGCCCTCAAGTCCCGAAGTCGAACCGCCTCTCGTCGAGTTTTGGCCCGTGAATCGGCAGAACCAGAGGTCGAAGCCAGTGTCCCCAGAAGCGAGGAAGAGGCCAGAGGTGAGGAGGAGGCGGAGGAGGAGGGAAGCCCAGAGGAGGAGACGGCTCGAGTAAGTTCAATGTTTGTGATCCCTCGCCCGCCCGGGCTGGAGAGCCCGAGGAGAAGGGAGGAAGAGGAGACGCCCACGGCCGCCAGGACACCGTTGACCTCGAGGTCGCCATGTGCGTGCCCTCCTAGTACCCCAGGGGAGGTTCTCGGGAGGACCGGGGAGGCGGGGACTCGGGCCCCAATGAGGCTGGATGCCCGAGTATGATTTCAATGTAGTGGCTGGAAGCCCGAATCAGACTAGTTATTGTTTCAAGGGCTCGAAGGGTATTAAAATAGGGGGCACTGTCTTATCTGTCCCATTCTCGCCTACCCTTCGAGCCCCCGTTAGATTGTGCCCCATGAGGGAGGCGTCCCACAGCATGCGAGCATGACTGTACTGACGCCGATGTGGCTCAAGTCTCTGAAAAGCACAGGAGGGAAAGGAGGCATCCCCGCTCATCGTCCCTTCCTCCGGCCCCCGCTCGTACCCCAACCGATCCACACGTTCGCTCACAGCATGGGGCAAACAACATCTTTCGACCTTCAACCTCAGCCTCCTCCTACTCGCTCTCGCCCTCCTCGCCCTCCTCTACCTTACCCTTCTCCCTCTATGTCGTTCCAAGGAGCAGGGTGGGGGCTGTACGGTAGGTTCGCGTCGTGCCGACCAGCGGCGACCCCGCCGCGGGCGTTCGAGGTTGAACGCCGCCAGTGGTTGGCCCAGAACCGGCCTACGTGCAGCGATCGTGCTATCGAAGAGCCGCCGATCGTTCGAGGCTGAACGATTCCCGCGGTGTCAGAAGCCAACGCCGGGTTTGTCACGACACGAACCTGCCGTACGGCTGTACTCCAGATTTCGTAATAAAAGAGAGGGGGTCTGGACCCTCCAAGACAAGCCACTTCAGACCCCCCCCCCGTGGGAAAACCCTCCAAAACATCGTCCCCAGACCCCCCCAGGCCCTCCAAGATAGCCTGGAAGAGCCCCCCCCCGAAATGAGACCCCCCTCCCTTTATTACGAAATCTGGAGTATCCAGTCTCGCCGCGGAGACACCGCGAGCTGCGCATGGGCTGGGGGGCCCTCAGCAGAGCTTCCCCCGCGGGCCTCCTCTCCCGCTTGCGGTCGGCGCTTCCCTCTCTCTCTCTCTCTCTCTTCGCCCTCTCCTTTTCCTCACCACCCACCAAACCACCCCAACCCAACCCGAAGGCTCAGATTTACCCTCGATTTCCAGTGGGGGGGGGGCGGGAAACGTCGAAAAAACACGTGTGGAACCCTTACCCCCCCCAACCCGAAATTCGGGTCTTCGGGTTGGGTTGGGGTGGTCTGGCAGGTAGTCATTTCCCACCTGCGTCGTGGTCCACAAAACGACCAAAGCCATCCTCCTCCAACCAGTTGCCCGGTCCTCGTCTGTTCGGGTGCGCCAGCACTCCGGGCAGCACCGACCCCCGGCAACCCCCCCCAACACTTTTTGGGGCGGGGCGGGGCGGGGGGCCTGCCGACGAGGGGGCCGCCCGCGGGGCCTCGCAGAGACGCCGTCCTCCTCCCGCGCGTTCTCCCGTCGCCGAGTGCGCGCTCCCTCTCGTGTCCTCGCGCCTGCTTCTCCTCCCCGCCCGCTCCCTCCGGGAGAGGGAGGGGGGGGGGCTTCCTTGCGAGTTCCCAGGGAATCGCGCTCTCGCGTCTTCCCGTCGCCGATGCGCTCCCTCTCGTGTCCTCGCGCCTGCTTCTCCTCCCCGCCCGCTGCCCCCGGGAGAGGGAGGGGGGGGCGGAGGGGTGGAGGGTGGGCCGCCGCGAGGCAGGCGCGGCCTGAGAGGTCGGATGGCGAAGGTGATGTAGCATCATCCGCGGCTCCCTGGCCAGGCCCGTCCTGAACCCAGGAGCTGTGCATACGCCGTCCTGGCCAAGCCAGTGGAGCTGGATGAATGTCGTCGCCCAGGAAGGGGAGGGGGAGGAGAAGGAGCAGGAGCAGGAGGAGGAGGAGGAGGAGGAGGAGGAGGAGGAGGAGGAGGAGGAGGAGGGGAGGGGGAGGAGGAGGCGAAAGGGGGAGGAGGAGGAGGTGGAGGAGGAGGAGGAGGAGGAGGAGAAGGAGGAGGGGGGGAGGGGCAGGGGGAGGAGGAGGAGGAAGAGGAGCAGGAGGAGGAGGAGGAGGCGTCTTTGAGGGCCCAGGATCTGCGTCGCTGCAGGTTTTTCATAGTTTTTGAGCCCATGGCCCATGGGCCATGGGGTCCGGCACGGGACCCCCCAGGACCGTCGGAGAACGGCACGGGAGAGAAGACACGGCGGGCATCTTGGGGGAGAGCTCCCGGGGTCCAGGGCTATGATGCTCCAACCTACTTTAGCCTTGACCACCGGGAAGAAGCTCGAGCGCCCAAAAATGTACCGAAATTCAAGGGTTGTTACGTGTCGGGCCCTGGGAGACATTCGCCCGACACTTGTTCGACATTGTTTCGACACTCTTTCGACACTTTTCTGGGTGCTCGAAATTATTTATGGGATGTGGTCCTTCTGCAGGACGGGAACAACAGAAGTCCAGGGGCCCGTTCTCCCGTTTCGGCTCTCGCATGGGTGTGGAGGGGTGAGGGCGGAGAGGCGGGAGGGTGGAGGAGGGAGAAGGGAGGGGCAAGGAGGGAGAGGCGTCCCTCCTTCGCGTCTCTCTCCCCCCCCCTCCTTGTTCCCACATGTGCCCCGCTCCATCTCGTTTATTAGATCTCCTCGCTGTGCACTCCTCCATGTCAATCTTCCCCCTTCCTCGAGCAGGCGGAGGGGGGAGGGGAGGAGACGGGTGTGTAGGGTGTTTTGGAAACGTGCACATTCGTTCCCGTTCCCTCCTCCCTCCTCGCCCCCCCGTCCTCTAGAGGGGGCAGGAGGGTCTGTAGGTGTTTGCTCCAGAGCTTCACTCCGCTGCAGGGGGGGTCCAGGGGATCCTCGCGCCCCTCCCTGCCCCATCTCGTCCTCCCCCCTGCCCGGACTCGGCCCGTGCCCAAGACGGGTCTGGATCCGGTCTCGAGCGCGCCGTGGACAACCATGATCAGTGCGTGTTGTTTCGATCACGCGCAGGTGGGTTCGGATGCATCTCCTGGAGGGCCAAACTCGGCATCGACGCTGGTATACCCGTGGTCGAAGACCAGGCTTGTGCGGCACACCCCCGCCTCATCCAGCTCGATGCCGCTGAAGCCGGCCTAGTCCCCGCCGAATTCGGATTCATCGGGATTGCTCCTGGCCCCAATCTAGCCGAATCCAGCCAGATAGCCCTGCAATCGGGTGCTGATAGCTCTTCATCGTTCTCACGAAGACCTCCCAGGAGCTGCCTCCCAAGCTGGACAGCCGTGCTCCTATGCCCAAGTGGGGGGGGCCCCTCGTGAGCGCCCCGCGCGCGAGGACTTCCTCGAGCCTTCCTTCGACCTCGCGCGGTACACGGAGGCCGACGGCGTCTTCGGCGCGCTGGCCACCACGGTAGAGGGGCACCACCCGGTGCGGCTCCTGCGGATGTCTTGGCTGGTCCAGCGCTTCTAGTGGGTCTTGGAAATGGCAGGGTGGTGTTTTCACGTGTTCCGGAAACCTGCTTCTGATCATGAGCAACCACAGCATCAGCAGCAGCAGCAATCTTAGGGGAACGAAAAATGGCATAAACAAAAACTCGGAGATCCGCGCGGATTTCTCGGATCGGCGCTGGGGCGCCCCGGCGGCGCCTCCGGCGCCGCCTGGCGCGCTCCGCGCGCCAGGGAGGGGGGTCCAGCGCCGGTTCGAGAAATCCGCGCGGACCTCAGAGCTTTTATGTTTACGTCATTCTTCGTTCCCCTGCATCAGCAGCAGCAGCAAAAACAACCATCATCTGAAGATTGATCCTTCTCATCTGCCCGCGTGCTACTCAACACATCTATATCCCAACCTTCGGTACCCGCCCCCTTCCGTCTTCGACTGCAACCCCCTCTCGGGGGTGCATCTTCCCGACCTGCCGCGTGTACTTGGCGGAGCTCCTGAAACGGGGGAAGGAAGGGAGGAGCGAAGCGACAAGAAGGGGAGGGAGGAAGATGGAGCACGAGAGAAATTTGCCGGAGGATGGTCAGGAGCAGCAGCACCAGCGGCAGAACCGGCCTGGCGTGTCGGGCGGGTGGGCCCTAACGGGCAGGTCGGGCGGGTGGGCCCAGGAGGCTCGGTCGAGCGGGCGGGTCGCTAAAGCGTCAACCCATCATGAAGGAAGATTCCAGAGATAACGCGAGTCCCGAGTAAATCGTTAGGCCATTCAGCGCGAGAGCGTGATTCGTGAGTGCTGCAGGCACGGCGCCGCAATAAAGTGAGGAAGCAGATGCGAGAGCACGAATCCTAAAGTAATTCTGAGTAAGTCTCGCGCGAGAGTTCGAATTTGGCCCCTGGATTACAACAACTGGCTCCCGCTTGACACTTCCTCACAATTTAGCCGGGATCCCCGCTCCCGCCTGAGACTTCCTCGCAGTTGACAGGAATCCTGTTCTCGCGTTGTACTTCCTTGCAATGTATTTAGGAATCGCTCTCTCGACGCTCTGGAGTCGCGTTCTCGCTGGAGACTTGCTTGCAATTTTCTCAAGAATCGCACTCTCGCGTTGGAATTCCCCGCGATGTACTCAAGCGCCGCGCTCCCGACACTCAGGCACCCAGGAGTCGCGCTCACGCACAGGACTATCTCACAGCTTATTTAATCGCTTCGCTCATTCCGCCGGCCCATATTGCTCACCGCGGTGGCCTGGCCGAGAGGTCGTCGGCAGTGCGGAGCTGCAGGGAGCGGCGGCCCCAAAACGTTCCCAGAGGCTCTCAAGAGGGCTTCAAAACTGCTTCAGAGCGCCCCAAGACGGCCCAAGGAGGGCCTCGGTGCGAGGAGGAGAAGGGGAGAATGAGGAGGAGGAAGGTGAATGAGCATGAGGAGGAGGCCTCTCGATGGCTTCTTGAAGCATTGCGGGGCCAAACTTGGACGTGGAGAAGCTGCCTCTGTAGGGCCTCTTGGGAGCCTCTTCGAAGCTTCTTGGGAGCCTCTGGGGGCCTCTTGGGGCATCTTGAGGGCCTTTTGGGGGCCTCCGTGGGCCTCTGGAAGGCGTGTTGGCGGCCTCTTGGAGCCTCCTGGGAACCTCTCCGGGCCCAAAGGTCGAAATGTCCGTTCGGGTGCCCCGTCTAGGCTCGCTTTTAGAGCCGTCTTGGAGGCGTCTTGGGCCATCTCGGAGGTCTCTGGAACTGTCTTGGTGGCTTGTTGGGCCGTCTTCGGGCGATCTTTGGGGCCTCTTGGGCACGTTTGGACGCTTTGCACCCCAGACGTCGCATATGCGAAACATGTACGTTTTCCCTTGGGAATGGGGCGATTTGTGCTTGTTGGAGCCCTCTTGGAGAGCCTCTTGGAGAGCCTCTTGAGGCTCTCCTGGGGCTTCTCGGCGGCCTCGACGGCCGTATGAAGGCCATCTTGGGCGTCTTGGACCGCTCGTTCGGTGACTCGGAGCATTTTTGGGCTGTCTTGGAGGCCTCTTGGGGCCCTCTTGGCGCGCCCTGGGGGGCCTCAGAGACCGCATCCAGGCCCTCTTGGGCCCTCTTGGGCCTATCTTGGGGGCTTGTTGTGCCGTCTTGGGGCGATCTTTGGGGCCTCTTGGGCACGTTTGGACGCTGTGAACCCCAGACGTCGCATATGCGAAAAATGTACGTTTCCCTTAGGGGATTGGACGATTTTTGCTTGTTGGAGCCCTCTTGGAGAGCCTCTTGAGGCTCGCTTCGGGCTTCTCGGCGGCCTCGAGGGCCGTATGAAGGCCATCATGGGCGTCTTGGACCACAGATTATTTAGGAATCGGGATCTCGCTGCCTTTCGTGGCCCCGTTGCAGCCCTTCTTGGCCCCCTCGTTGCCCTTCGTTGACCCGTTGCAGCCCTTATTGGCCCCCTCGCTGCCCTTCGCGGCCCCGTTGCAGCCTTTCGTGGCCCCGTCGCTGCCATTCGTGGTCCCGTTGCAGCCCTTCGTGGCCCCCTCGCTTCCCTTCATGGACCCGTTGCAGCCCTTCGTGGCCCCGTTGCAGCCCTTCGTGGCCCCGTTGCAGCCCTGTCGTGGCCCCGTTGCGCCCCTTCTTGGCCCCCTCGCTGCCCCTCATGGCCCCGTTGCAGCCCATCGTGGCCCTCTCGCTGCCCTTCGTGGCCCCATGTATGTATGCCTTTCGTGACCCCCGCTTGCGCCCGTCGTGGCCCCATATGCATGCGTTTCGTGGCCCCGCTGTCGCCCTTCTTGGTCCCCTTGCTGCCCTTCGTGGTCCCGTTGCTGCAGTCAGTGGCCCCGTCCTTGCCCTCTGGGGTCCAATATACGTATTCCTTCGTGGCCACCGCTCGTTCGCGCCCGTCGTGGCCCCATATGATTGGCCCAGATGCATCTGTCGTCCTACGTGGCCCCGTGGCTACCTTCAGTGGCCCCGTCGTTACCCTCTGTGGCCCCGCATTATCTGCCCTTCGTGGCCACCGCTCGTTCGTGCCCTTCGTGGCCCCATACGCATGCCTTTCGTAGCCCCGCTGTCGCCTTCGTGTCCCCGCTGTCGCTCTCGCTTTGGCTCGTCGACGTCGTCGCCGTCGCCGTCGCCGTCGCCGTCGCCGTCGCCGTCGTCGTCGTCGTCGTCGTCGTCGTCGTCGTCGTCGGTCCCCTGTCCGTCCGTCTTGGGGTCGGGTTGCCGCCGATCAGCGCTGCCGCTGGCCAGGCCGACGGTCCGCGGCCGCCCCGCCGCTTGCCCGGGCCCTGCCTGCAGGGAAGAGAAATACACCCACTAAAAAGGGTACGATCGAATGCGGAGAGGGCGGGTTGGGAAATACACGTTGGATGACATTCGAGCAGATAGAAGCGAACAGTCTTACAATGAGTATTGCTTTTGTTGTTACTGTTACTGCTGCTGCTGCAAAACAGCGACGTGTTTAAAACAGGGTGCGAACCTCAGGAGGAGTAGTTGAATTAAACAATACGATGGCCATTGGGGGTCAACGATACTTGTTCTTTAGAAGTGGGAACTTAGTAACATTAATGACAGCAACAACGGCAACAACAATCATGTCAAGACCGAATTGTTCGCGGGCCACTCAACACGTGCATGCGGAACCTCGATGCCAGCGCTCCTCGTCTTCGATCACAACAACCCCTTTGGGAGTATATGTTTGTCCTGCGTGCAACGTGTTATTCGTCCAGCCTCTACGGGAGGGGGTTGAGGGACGGATGGAAGGAAGGGTCCAGAGGGGAGAGAAGAGGATGGAACACGAGAGAGTGTAACAGGCAGGAGGTTAGGAACAGAAAACACGTGGCAGAACCAGGCGGGCAGATCGGGCGGGCAAAAACTAACGGGCGGGTCGGGAAGGTGGGCCCAGGCGGCCAGGTCGAGCAGGCGATCTGCTGAAGCGTGAGTCCTGCATGAGTTGCGAAGAAGTTTCGAGCGATACCGCGATTCCCAAAGAAATCGTGAGGGACAATCTACGGCGAGGGCGTGGTTCCTGAGTTTCCACGGGCGCGGCGCACGAATAAAATTGTCAGGACGTCCCATGCAAGAGCGCGATTCTTGTATACATGGTGGGTACGACCCGCGCGAAAGCGCGATTATATCATACATTCAAAGGAAGTATCCGGCAGGCGCCGCTGGTGATATAAACCGGGTCCCAACAATCCAGTTTGGCAACACCCAGTTTTAAAGTGTTAAAACATTGGGTAGGAGCTCTGGGAGGAGCACTCGAATTAAACCAATGATGACAGGGCAGGGGGATAATCAGTATATTTCTTTCGGCATGGTCTTCCATCAAGAGCAACAATAACAGCAACAACAATAACAACATTCATTATAATATTGTTCGCTCTTACCTGCTCGCGTGCCATGCCCAACGTATATCCCAAGCCCCCCATACCCGCCCTCTCCGTCTTCGATCGAGACCCCCTTAGGGTAGATCCCCCTTACCTGCCACGTGACGCCACGTGTAGTTGGCATAGCAGCTAACCCAGGGAAGGAACGGAGGAGGGAAGGCACAAGGAGGAGGGAAAAGGATGCAGCACGAGGGGGATTTGCAGGAGTCGTTTTGGAGCAGGAACGCAAGCGGCAAAACCAGACGGGGGGGTCGGGCGAGCGGACCTTTACGGGCAGACCAGGCGGCGGCTTAGACGACTGGGTCGAGCGGGCGGAGCATCAACCCAAGATGAATCGCGAGGACGTTCCGTGCGATAGAGCGATTCCCAAGTAAGGGAATCATGAGGATATTCGTGAAGCAGGGCATGGACAACGTTATTGCGACGGTGCTGTGCCGTCCGAACCGCAGACGTCGAAGTTCCTTAGGTAATGTGGTGGCAGTTCCCCCTTGGGAGGGAGATCTGGGTTCGGGATAATCGGACCCCGTTTGCCGGAAGACAAGCCCCCCAGTATGGGGGATAGTTCTCATGATGGGCGTGTTTCCATGTCGTAACATTGAGCATGCAGGTGCTGTTGTTGTAGGTGTTGTTGCTGTTGTTGTTGTGGTTGTTGTGGTTGATTCCTTGTCATTGAAAATAGGTACTGTGAATCCCCCCTCCGGAGACCATTTTATTGAATTGAAGTGCTTTCCCCGGGGTTCGCACCCTGTTCGTTTATCAATGAAAGTCACGAGGCTCAAACTGGGTTGTTGGCCCCTGTTTACAACAAGATCGGCTCCCGCCTGGTACTTCCTCACCATTTGTTCCCAAATCGTGCTCTCGCGCGAGATTTTTTCACACTTTGTATACGGATCGCGCTCCCGCGTGGGACTTCCTCGCAGCTTATTCAGACGGTGCGCCCTCGGCGCACAGGGATCACGCTCTTGCTTTGGCTTTTCTCGCGATGTACTTGGGAATCGCGCTATCGCTCGAGGCTTCCTCGCGATTCATGCAGGAATCACGCTTCAGCAACCCACCTGCTCGACCTGGTCGCTTGGGCCCGCCTTTCCGACCTGCCCGCTGTGGAACTGCCCACCCTATCTGCCCCTCTGGTTCTACCACTTGTTTTCTTCTCTTTGCCCCCCTCCTGCTAATTTCTTTTGTGCTCCATTCTACTCCCTCCCCCTTCCACACGTCTTCTCTTCCTTTGTTGTAGGGTTTGCGCTGAATGCACGTGGCAGGTAAGGAAGAGATACCCCCGATGGGGGTTCGATCGAAGACGACAAGTGCGGGTACCGAGGGCTTGGGATATACGTATTGATTGGCACGTGAGCAGATAGGAGCGAACAGTATTGAACATATTGTTGTTAGTGTTGTTGTTGGTGGTGGTGTGGTTGCTGTTGTTGCTGTTGCTGTTGCTGGTGCTGATGTTGTTGTTGGTGGTGTTGGTACTGGTGTCGGTGTTGGTGTTGTTGTTGCTGCTGTTGTTGGTGGTGTTGGTGTTGTTGCTGTTGTTGTTGATGCTGCTGGTGTTGTTGGTGGTGGTGCTGGCGTTGTTGTTGGTGGTGGTTATGGTGTTGTTCTTTCGTTGTAATCCATGGGGCGAACAACGCAGCTTGAGGACTACTACTTTCCATGATAAAATACAGGGCGCGAGCCCCGGGAGGAGCACTTTATAATTGAACAGAGCAATGTGCACCAGACGGGGGATCAGCAGTTCTCCTTTAAGGATTGGGAATTTAACGAAGCGGCCAACCGAAAAGGGCAAAAACACAGCGCCTGAATCGGAACCGGAACCAGAGGAACCAAACGCTACGGAACGGGAACGTAAAACAACAAAACAATGGAACTAGAAACCAAACATGCACGGAACTGGTAATTCAACAAAACGCCTTGCCGCCTCCAGGGCTCACCGATCGGGCCGGACGAAAGGGGGGATTGGGAAAGGGGGGGTCACGACATTTGCTGCAATGCAGCTGGTTTCGGCCCTACCGAGGAGCCCATTCCTCGATGCATAGCCGCCCCCGGCGCCGGGAGGCGCCGGGAAGATCAGCTACGTGAGCTGAGTCTCAAACCCCGCCTTTGCTTCGTGCCCCCCTCTCGCCCGACCCGAGCCGAGGTCCAGCAGCGCGGCCGCGCGCTGCCGCGGCGGCAGGAGCTGCCGGAGGCGGCCTTCGTGGGCGCCGCCGAGCTGCGGGAGGCCTGGCGGGCCAGCGGCGAGGGCGGGCCCGACGGGCTGCTCCCCGTGGTGGCCGTGTCGATGTGCTGGGACAGCCCGGAGCACCCGGACCCCGAGGCCGGGCGCGGGAGGAGTTCTCGGGGGTGGATAGAGACCTCCTACCTTGACGCGTCGATTAAGGAATTGGCCGTTTTCGGTTCGCGAGAGGGCGTCGCGGCCGTCACTTTTGCGGGTCCAGGTCGGTCGGTGTCGGTCCCAGGCCGTTTTCACTAAGGGGAGGTTTACTCAAGGGAGGTTTGTCCTCCGCCGAAGTTCGGGCAGGCTTGTTGCCGGTCAGCCACGCGCAGCTCGAGGGGGAGCGGGGGGGAGGGGGGAGGGCTTCTGAGAAGCACCCCTGCTTCTCAGGAGGCGCGGGCCTCGTCCACAAGATGTGTGGCCGGCGCCTTCGAAGAAGCAGCCGCCTCCTGAGGAGCCCTCCCCCCTCGCTCCACCCCCTCGCGCGCGCCGCCAAGTCAGAGGGGGAGGAACCACTGTCGCCATCCCTGCCTCGTTGGGGGCTTCTGTGGGGCCTCCTGGGAGGCCCTCGTCGCTCCGGCCGGCTTCGCCTCAAAAAAAATCAGATCCGAACGCACCGAGGGAGAGGTCAGGGCAGTAGGGGTACTCATCGGTAGGAGTTTTGCTTCTCCGTCTCGGATTGGATCAAGGTGTACATCGATGTGGCCGTCTATTTGATTTTCAACAGGCGTGCTTTCCCAGATTCTGGCTCTCGGGGGCCGTGATCGGGCCCCGGGCGCAGCTAAAAGGGATCCCGGGCGAAGAACTGCCCCCTCGAGAAGCGACTGTGACCCGTCCTCCGTGGCCGCGGGTCAGTAGAATCACATCAGAGCGCGCCTCTTCGGGGTGTGCCTTGTTGCAGAGCGCCTTGGAGCGCTCGGAGACGGCCGCGGCGCCCGATGCATCCTCCAGGCCCTCCAGCTCCTCAGAGGCCCCCGATGTGTCCTCATCCGAACTCGGCTCCGCCGTGCCTACGTATTGACCTGGGTTTGATGGGCGTGTTTTCCACCGCCACCACCATAAGTTGGAGGGGGGAAGGGGAAGGAGGACGAAGAGGAGGAGGAGGACGAAGAGGAGGAGGAGGACGAAGAGGAGGAGGAGGACGAAGAGGAGGAGGAGGACGAGGAGGAGGAGGAGGAGGACCCCATCCCCCTCCTCCAACTTATGGTGGTGGTGGAGGACAGGCCCAACAGGGTTTCCTCTGGCCCCCTGCGATTTTGGGGAGCCTCGGGGCGCGCCTCTCGGCAGCCGGGGGCAGGCTGGGGGTCACCGCGGCCGCCCAGGTGTGCGGGCAATAGTTATATCCATATCCAGTGCGTCTTGGATTTTCTTGGAAGGGGCATCGCGAGGCCGCGGCGCACCGGATATGGACAAACCTCGAGCCTCTACAGGGGCCATATTCGTATCCATATCCAGCGCGCCTTGGGGTTCTTGGGCAGGGAGCCAGAAACTCCAAGCTACAGTGGATACGGACACAAGTCTTGCCCGCACACGTGCTCTCCTCAGGACAGGAGTCGCCCTCTGCCAACACCAACTTCGATTCGACCGATCCGATTCGGTGCCCAGCTCGGCCCCCCGCCCGATTCGATTCGACTTCGACTTCCTTGGGGGCAAGATTTCTCCAGTGCGTCTAGGACTGTCTTGGAAGAGGCTCCACAAGGCCGAGTCGCACTGGATACGGATCAGCATCGACCAACTTATCCGTATCCAGTGCGCCTTGGGTTTCTGGGGAAGGGAGCCCGAAATTCCATATTACAGAGGATATGGACAGAAGCATTGCCCGCCGATGCGGCCCCACGTTTGCACAGCGCCGTTGTGCATCCGAGTGCAGCCGATCCAGCTCGACGCGGACGCCGTGGCGATGCAGGCGATCCGGCGCACTTTCCTCAGAGGATGAACAAGTACCCATATTGCTACCCTTTGCTCGTTATCTCCTTTTTCGGCCTCCTGGGAGGCCCTCGTCGCCACCGCTGGATCCACCTCGAGATCCTGGTCAGAACGGACCCTGGGAGAGGGCCGGGGAGTAGCGGCATCGGTACCTTTTGCTCTCTCCGTTTCCGCTTCTTGGCGTGTGAGTAACGATCTATCCTAAGCTTTTCCGCCGTCCGGGATGCCCGCCCCACGGGAGGCCGCAAAGTTCATACACCTGCGTTTCACCGTGGGGGTGCAACCTCTGCAAGCTCCTCGGGGGGCAGGCGCCCCCGACGGCGGAGAAAGGTTATGCTAGGCCGCTCTTCGCCCGCGGAGCTCCGGTCCGAGTTCCCGATTCGATGCTGATTGATCTTGACTGCCGGCGAGGGCATTCAGCTGGACCTGCTCGCGCGGACGTTGGACGCGGAGTCGGCCAAGTTTCGGCAGGCTCCCGCCGCGGGCCGCTTCCGCGGATTCGCCGAGGCTCGGGGGCGCCGAATCTATCCGGGCGGAGAGAACTAGACACAGGCACCGATCCTGGCAGGGCCCATCCTTGACCCAGGATCGGTGCATACACCTTCCTGGCCGAGGCAGAGGGCGTAGGTGCCGATCCTGGGCTCAGGGTGGGCCTGGCCAGAATCGGTGCATAATCATAGTTCTCTTCCCTCTAAGTATCAGCCGCTCGCACGAGGGGCAGCATGACAGGGGCGGCTCTACGCCTGAGGCCTCTGGACGCTCTCGCCGGTGCTCGGCGCTTTCCAGCTGCGGCGTCCTCTCCAGCAGCAGCGCCCCGCCGGGAGCGTTCTCGGGGGGTGCCCGGCTCGCCCCGAGAACGGGCGTCGGAGAGCCGAGGTATGGCCCGGAAACCAGGGGGCGACGCTACAGGGGGGATGGGCTTAGAGGGGGGTTCATTGACTCCCACGGGGGGCCACATGCGAACCCTACCCCTACCCCCCACGATTTCTGAGGGGGAGGGTGTGGTTCACTTCGTTCGGGAGCTCCCGAGCGAAGTGAACCCCACCCTTCCCCTTCAGAAATCGTGGGGTGTAGGGGTAGGGTTCGCATGTGGCCCCACTCCCATTTCGGAGGTGGATAGACGTCCTACCCTGACACGTCGATTAAGGAATCGGCCGTTTTCGGTTCGCGAGAGGGCGTCGCGGCCGTCAGTTTTGCGGGTCCAGGTCCGTCGGTTTCGGTCCCAGGCCGTTTTCATTAAGGGGAGGTTTCTAAAGGGAGGTTTGTCCACCGCCGACCAATCGCCCATTCATCGCCAATAGGGGCCCGATAGGCCACCCCGCCCGGGAACGTGCGGATCCGCTACCCGGGGCCTATCGACGAGTTATCGGCGATGTATCGCTGGTTCCATCTCGATATTTCCCATCCTGAGTTGGTCCCCCCCCTAACGTCCCCCCTTCACGTAAGAGCGGTCCTTCGCCGCCAGGTTGACCTCCGGTTGGGGCCCCCCGGCATTGGCCTCGCGCGGTCAGGCATCCCTGCCGTCCCCGCAAGCCGCGCACACCAACAAGGTCATTTCTGCCCAGCGTCACTCCTACTTGCGCGTGGCCGACAAGGGAATCGCGAATACGGTGGGACCGAGGTATCAGATCGAGGTCGGTTCGGGGAGGGTACCCTACAGTCGGAGCCCTGAAGAAGGAACCCTTTTGGTTGGGGAGGGGCTCCTCGTTCCTTAATTAAGTGTTTCACTGCTTGCCTCAGGTTTTCCTTATGTTTCCGATCGGAAATCGAAGTTTAACTTATGGAAAAGAGAGGCCTCGTTCCTTATTTGGGGTTCCTTAGGTCAGCGCCCCGACTGTACTTACGCGTGGCCGACAAGGGAATCGAATACGGTGGGGCCGAGGTATCAGAGCGAGGTCGGTTCGGGGAGGGTGCCCTAGTCTTCTTCGTGTTGGTTGGGATGCTCTTGCGCATATCCTGGGCGAGGGCACCCTTGGAAGTTCGGTTTGTTTTGTGGCCGGCGGAGGGCCTCATGTTATTGAGGGAGATGTGTCTGGCTCGGGTCCGACTGTATTCAGGAGGGGAAAAAGACACAGACACAATCAGTCCTGGATTTCCAAGGGAAGTATAGGAACATATGGGAAGGGGGCGGGAAGACAGAAACGCAGAACATATGGGAAACTATGGGGGGTCTTTGCATCTGTGTGTATTTATTTGTGTTTCCTGGGGCCCCTTCATATTGAGGGAGGTGTTTCTGGCTCAGGTCCGACTGTATGTCCATCCCGCCAGGTTGGGGCTGCTAGGCGGGTACGTGCTGGGTAAAGTTCATGGAGTAGAAGAACCCCTTAATCTTCATAACCCAGTGAAGACGTGGCCTCACCGAGGTCCACTTTTCTGTATCACGGATACTGAGAATCTGGGCGGTTTGGTCTGGCAGATCTGCAGGGACAAAATTGTATCCCTAACGTTTTTGTCCCCCTAACCTGGGTCGCCCCCCCATGAGTTGGGGGTGCTCTCTTCTGGCCTACTCGGTCCGACTGCAGCGCGGACCTCCCGAGGCTTATGTTTCGTGTTCGCCCCGGCCTTGGCGCCGAGGAGCGCACACAGATGAGGTGCCATAGTCGCCGGGGAGCACCGCCGCTGCCTCGACCGGCCCCCTTCCTTCGCGTAGGAGATCGACTACAGTGGAGACCCATGCCAAGGAGCACCCTGCTCGCCTCCAGGGTGCCCTGGGCTTCTCGGGCGTCGATGGTTTTGCAACGGCGAGCGTGTCGCTCCCGCACCAAGACTCAATGGACATCCTGGGGTCTCAGGGTTGGGTTTCTTGTGGAAGGTTTCTTGTGGTCGGGCCCCTACTGTACAGAATTGATATACCCCCAGGTGCTTTTTCCTTGAAACTTCGAAATCCGTAGAAGGTTCGAAGATCTTACGAACATTCCACGCCCTCGTCGCAGATTCGGCGAAACATTTACCGCATGTCTGAGTATTGTTTGACTTTTTGTTCTCTCTCATGCCCGACCAGAGGGTCGTGGCCGTGGTCCGTACCCCTTTCCCCCCGGCTGCGCGCCCAGCACAGACGGCGCGCGCGATGCCGCGGGACGTCCGTATCGTGCAACCGATCCCCATCCCCATCCGCATCCCTCTAGGCCTCCCAGATGGGGTCAGATTAGATGGGGTCGGAGGATCGCGCCGCATCCCCGATGCATCGACGATACGGCTCGATCCAGAGCTCGACTTCTCCACGCCGACGCCGCCGATGCATCGCCAACGTCGATGATGCATCGCCGGTGCATCGCCGATGCATCGCCGATGTATCGGCGTTGCGGCGCGATCTTCCGACCCCATCTACTCCGACCCCATCAAGGAGGCCTCTAATCCCTCGAAGAAGAAACACCGCCATAAGCATAAACTTTTGTGACGCTCCGCGCGGATTTCTTGGATGCGCGCCAGGGCCCCTCTGGCGGCGCCGCTGGCGCCGCCCCTTGGCGCACTCTTCGCGCCAGGGAGGGGGGTCCAGCGCGGATCCAAGAAATCCGCAAAACCCCCGAGTTGTTCTGTTTGTGTCATTTTCGTTCCCCTAACAACATCACCAGGTGGGCCACCTCCAGCGAGGAGGTCCACGATGCCTCCCCGAGCTGGAGGCCGGGGATGTTTCGAGCGAGAGGGGGGGGGCCGCTCCACCAGGGAGACTCCCCTTGCTCCTCGCACCTCCCCGCCTTGGCGTTGTTGGCGCAGCCTTTCCCTGTGCCCAGAGGCTCTCAGAGGCAACGTCAGCGGGGGAGTGAGTCCAGAGGGCAAGCATCGACCCCCAATCGCCCATTCCCTTGGCATCGCTTAGACGTGTGCATTTTTCCTTCGGCCAGGACCATCGAGAAGCATCCTTGATCATTTGGCGAAAAAACCACGCACGAAACCGAAAAAAAACACAGGAAATGGACGTCCGAGGGATGGCCAGTTCCTCGCCAATGGGGGGGGGCTCGAGCCCTTCGCCCATCCCAGGAAGGTTTGGGGTTTCCCAGTCGGCGGGGCCGGCGATCTGTCCGCGAGGCAGCGCTGACTCCAGGTCAAGGCTTTTCCCGCTTAGACTGAAGTCGGGCACGTCCCTCTACAGGAGGAGCGTCGAAAAACAATCCAACAATAGTCTGGAGACGAAATTCTGACTTTTCCAAAATATGCTTGATGATTGTTTGACTTTGAAAACATTGTCGTCCAACATCCGCCTGCAGGAGAATATTCCCGACCTGAGCTTCGCCAGCTCCACCAGTCGTTGCCTGTCAGGACAAATGACAGAGGAAAACACTCGAACAGAAAGCATCGGCAGAAAACCTGATACAGTCAATCCGCAGAGTAAGGATGGGCAACCTTCCCAAGGGTACCCTCGCATCCTTGCCTCGCCCCGCTCGGGAAGCTTCGAGATGGACAGCCAAGGCCCTTGCATCCTTATCCCGCATCCTTGCTATACGGGTTGACTGTACAGTTCATGCTTCTCTTTCTAGAGTTGACACGGCAGCCAAGGCCCTTGCATCCTTATCCCGCATCCTTGCTATACGGGTTGACTGTACTGTTCGTGCCTCTCTTTCTAGAGTTTACGCGACCGCGGGGCGCTGGGAATGGGGGGAGGGGGGGGCCATCGATCCATAGTCTGCACGCACGAAATGGGTACTGAAAGAATGGGTACAATGCCCAACAGCGGATCTTGTTCATTTTGAACAGGGCTCGCTGTCCACGCCGCCTCGGCCTGTGTCCCTTCGAGACAGGAGGCCGCCTGCCCAGCAGCGGCCGCTGTTGGTTTGGGACAACATTGGCTGTTGGGCATTGTACCCATTTTTGTTGGTACCCATTTCGGGCGTCCAAACAGAGCCCGCGCAGCGTGCTTCCTGGCCGCCGGCCGAGGATCCTGTCCGCCTCTCGCGAGCGGCAGGGCCCCATTTCGATCCGACCGCTGCGACGCCGAGCTCGGCCAGCCCGATGTCGGACCCGACGGCGTTCTTAGAACGTGTCTGGCTGGGACTGTCCTGTTTTAGCACGTCGGGTTTCTGTTCTAAGAATCGGGGGTGGACAGAACCCCCAACAGTGACACGTCGATAAGTGAATTGTCCGTTTTCGGTTCTCGAGAGGGCGCCGCGGCCGACATTTTCTCGGCTCGCGCCCGCCAGGTTTGGGCCTTAGGTCGTTTTCACTAAACCATGTTTTACTAAAGGGGGGTCTGTACATCCCCGATTATGTTCTAAGAACATTGTTTTTGTTCTTGGAACGTTTTGGTGTTCTAAGAGCATCTCGTGGTAGGACTCCTTAGGAATGCCGGGACGGTCGGTCCCTGCTCAAGTTCTCCCTACGATCGGCTGCTGCCCGATGCCTGCATGGCGGTTTCTTTGCCCCTTGGCTCAGCCGATCCGATCCGATCCCGATCCCGGGCCGAGGCGTCCCGATCCGGCGCACTCTCCTATTCGATCGTTTTTGTTCCCGCTTCGATGCGGATCGATCCTGGAGGGTGTGGCTACGCCGGAGTGCGGTTTGCGATCGGCGCCGTGGGGGCCTGGAGGGCACGACAGTGTCCTCGTCGGGCCTCGTCGGGGCGCGGCGGAGAACTCAATCGAGGTACCCGCCCGACCCCCATGGTGCCCCCCAGGGTGCCGATTGTAAACGGCACTCTTTGCAAACCACACCCTTCGGAGTCGCCGATCAAGGGAGGGAAAAACACCCCGACCCCGATAATTGGCGTTTGCTGACTGGCCCTGGGCGTTTTGCCAAGCAGCCCTGCCCTGCTGGAGCACTCCCCCGGGGCGCGCGGACGGGGCGGCTTCGCTCGTCGGGGCGATCACTGCGAGAGTACACCTTAGGCGATGCTTAAGAAAACTTAAGTTTTCGGCCAGAGTCTCGATTATTCTTAATTTTTCAATGAAAATCCTAAGATTTTGATGGAAATGTTGGGTTTTTATTCAAGTTCTGAGACTATGAGCATTTCGCAGGGTGTAGTGTGCTGCTCCCTGGAGAGGTGGGCGTGTTCTGGGACTGGGGCTCGCTGCTGCAGCGGGGCCCGCCCGCGGCGGACCTCGGCAGCAGGCGCCCCGCCCCGCCCCCGCCCCCGGGCACGGTGCCCGGCTCGCCCCGCCGTGCGCGGTCGCGCCGCCCGCCAGGCGGGCTCCATGAGGCAGGGCCTCTCTCGACCAAGATTCCACCACCAGAGTATGCCCACGTCCGCCGCTTCGGAGCACGACCCAGCAGCAGTGGCATGCGGTCACACTCTGGCGGCGCACGAAACCACACGGCAACACCCCACCTACGGCCATCCATGATGCGCTACGGCCCACAGGGATGCCGTAGCTCTAGGCCTCCTAGATAGGGTCTGAGTAGATGGGGCCGGAGGATCGCGCCTCGTCGCCGATGCGTTGGCGATGCGGCTCGTGGTGGATCCCGATGTTCTCCACGCCGCCGACGTCGCCATTGCGTCGCCGATGCATCGCCGATGCGGCGCGATCCTCCGACCCCGTCCAGGAGGCCTCTAGTGTTGTGCTACGGCCCACGGGGCGGGGCCTCTCTCGACCAAACAACAGATGATCGTCTTCTTCTTCTTCAGTGCTTTGCCGATCGGCGCGGGCCCTTGCACCCCTTACCCACCCCCCCATGGACCAGATCGTGGCTGTTTCTGGCGCCTGTTCAAAGCCGGTGGAGTGTCCCCCATTGGACGCACTGTGGCAAACAGACGCGTGAAGCAGAGGTCTGGAGCCGGACCCCCCGCCCCTCCCCTTCCCCTTCCGCCCAATGTCGAGACGCCGAATAAGAAAACGTTCACCAAACGACACCACCCTACGCCGAATAAGAAAACGTTCACCAACGTCGAAACGCCGAATAAGAAAACGTTCACCAACGTCGAAACGCCGACTAAGAAAACGTTCACCAAACGCCGAATAAGAAAACGTTCACCTACGGCCGCTCAAGTTGCACTACGGCCCATCGGGGGCCGTAGCGCACACCACGTAAGAGCCCACGCCAGATTTCCTGGTATTGGCTGAGCCCCTGGGGCTGCAGGTGGGATGGTGTCGTTTGTTGTTTGGTCCATCTCTCTCGAGCTCTCGAAGAAGACAGACCGACACCAAACAGGAACGACCCGACCAGAGTCCATGTCCATCCGATTCGATGACGGTCCCGGCGGGCCCGATTTGCTGGTGGTCCGACGCGGCCCGATGTTCGCATGGCAATGTTGTGCACTTTGGCGCAGCCGATTCGTTTCCGGTTCTGTGCCAATGCGGCCCGAGCCGACGCATATCTCGACTAGGTTGGATTTTCAGGTTCGATGCCGGTTGACCTTGCCCGACTGCCCCGCGGATCCCTTTGGCGCCTTTCCTATGGGAATTAATAATGGCATAAACATCATTACTTTGCGACGTACCCAGCCCATGTGCGTCAAGTGACATGAGGAGTTGGCCCAAATTTGCCAGGACAATGACAGTGCAGGCGCCGTCATACGTTGTGCAAGCTACATCGGGTGCGCTCACCTGGCACGATTCACAAAACAACATCCAAAGAACGAGGAACGAGGGCCCAGGCTTGAGGAGGACATGCGGGCGGGAACGAAGGGCAGGAAAAGGGCGCGTGGGGGGCCGAACTGCCAGCGCGGCAGCCGCAGAGGCAGGGTGGCATGGGGGCAGAGGAGGACAACGAAAGTGACGGGAGGAGACCGAAGAGTGCTGTCTTTGTCGGTGGTACCCTAAATATGCAGCGCTGCCAGCGCCATGACGCCGCGGCGCTCGATAAACAAATGACTAAACCTGTTTCCTGCTACTGCAAGGAACGAAGCGACTGAGGCCTAGCTCGCCAGCCACCTTCCTTTCATCCTTCCTGCATTTTCCAGTGCGGGAGCTAAACATTCGAAGGCGCGTCGCCATGTCTACGGGCAGCCCGCGACAGCGCCCCGAGGGACCCCAAAGCAGCCTTAGAAAGTGGCGACGGTTTTACAGATCGTAGCTCCCCAGGGATAACGACGTCGAATATGAGTCTGGGTGGTGCTTCGCTCCGCTGACCCCCCCAGCATCCCTCGCAAATGGCGACAGTTTCGCAGATCGCAGCCCCCTAGGGATGGCGACGTCAAGTCTGAGTTTGGGCAGCGCCGCACTCCGCTGCCCCCCCCCCAGCAACCGTCCGAAAGCAGCGACGGTTTAGCAGATCGCAGCCCCTCAGGGATGACCAGGTGTAATCTGAATCTGCGTGGGGCCCCATTCCGTTGGCCCCCCCAGCAGCTTTCGAAAGTGGCGGCAGTTTCGCAGATCGCGGTTCTCCAGTGATGACGAGGTCAAACGTAAGTCCTCGTAGGACGTCATTCCGCTGGACCACCTCAACAGCCCCCGAAAGTGGCGACAGTTTCGCAGGTCGCAGCCCCCCAGATGTGACGAGGTCGAATCAGAATCTGCGTAGGACGTCATTCCGTAGGACCCCCCCAGTAACCTTCGAAAGCGGCGACAGTTTCGCAGATGGTTGCCCCCCAGGGATGACGAGGTCTGATATGGTGACGAGGTCGAAGCTAAATCTGCGTAGGACGTCGGTCCTTTGGATCCCCCAGTGACCCTCGAAATTGGCTACAGTTTTGCAGATCGCAGCCCCCCAGGGATGACGAGGTCTAGTGTGAATTTGCGTGGGGTAGCACGCCTGTGGCCTCCCCAGCAACCCTTGCAAGTGGCGACGGCTTCACAGGTCGCAGCCCCCCTAGGGATGGCGAGGACAAATCTAGATCTGCGTGGGACGTCACTGAGCTGGACCCCCAGCAGCCTTCGAAAGTGGGGACAGTTCCGCACATCGCAGCTCTCCAGGGATAACGACGTCGAATCTGCATTTCCGTAGGACGCTACTCGCTGGACCCCCCAACGGCCTTCGAAAGTGGCGACAGTTTCGCGAATCGCTGTCCCCCAGGATTGACCAGGTTTAATATGGATCCGCGTAGGACGTTGTTCGTTGGACCCCCCAACAGCCCCCGAAAGTGGCGATGGTGACGGTTTTGCAGATCGCAGCCTCCCAGGGATACCGAGGTCTAATATGGATTGGCGTGGGACCCCACTCCACTGGCCCCCCCAGCAGCTTTCGAAAGGGGCGACAGTTTAGCAGATCGCAACTCCCCAGGGATGACGAGAGCTACTCTGAATCTGCATGGGACCCCACCCCGCTGGCCCCCCCAGCAGCCGTCGAAAGCGGCAACGGTTTTACAGATTGCAGCTTCCCAGGGATGACGAGGTCTAATCTGAATCTGCGTGGGACCCCACTCCGCTGGCCCCCCCAGCAGCCTTCGAAAGTGGCGACAGTTTCGCAGATCGCAGCCCCCCAGGGATGGCGTGGTCTAGTCGTCTGAATCAGCGTGGGACCCCACTCCGCTGGACCCCCCAGCAGCCCTCCAAAGTGGAGACAGATTCGCAGATCACAGCCCCCCAAGGATGGCCAGGAAGGAGGCAAACTAGCACGCAGGAAGGAGCACGGTGAGAGGCAGGAGAGAAGGGGAGAGGGAGGCGGGAGGAAGGACGATGCGACCGCAGTGCTCTGTTCAAAACGACGCAGGAGGGTTGGGAAAAATTCGCAGGTTCGCGCGGATTTCTCGGATCGGCGCTGGACCCCTCTCCCTGGCGCGCGGAGCGCGCCAGGGGCGGCGCCGGAGGCGCCGCCAGAGGGCCCCAAGCGCGGATCCAAGAAACCCGCGCAGACCTCCGAACTTTTATGTTTATGCCATTGCTCGTTCCCTTACTTTCAGGAGGGACAAAACACAGGCACAATCAATCGTCGATTCCCAAGAAGATACGGGAAACTGTGGGAAGTGGGAGGGTAGACAACAGTCCAGAACATATGGGAAAGTATAGGGGGAATCCTTCTATTCGTGTGTGTGTGTGTTTGTTTGTGTGTCTCAGGGCCCCTTCCTATTCCATGTTCCAGACGTTGCAAGCATAACGATTTGGAGGCCCGGGCGGATCTCTTGGGTCGGCGCTGTACCTACCTCCCCCCCCCCCCTGGCGGCGCCGCCCCTCGGCGCGCGCCGCGCGCCAGAGAGGGGAGGGGGCCCCGCTCCGACCCGGGGAAGTTCGCACGGGGCCTCCGACGGGCTCCGTTTGTGCAGCCGTGCGCGAATAGTGCGCTTCTGGGCCTCCAAGATCTTGGCATCGCTCGGACGTGTGCATTTTTCCTTCGGCGAGGACCATCGAGGAGCATCCTTGATCATTTGGCGAAAAAACCACGCATGAAACCGAAACAAACACAGAAAATGGACGTCCGAGCGATGGCGAGAGATGGGGTCGGAACAGATGGGGTCGGAGGCTCGCGCCGCATCGCCGATACATCGGCGATGCGGCTCGATGTGCAGCTCGATTTGCTTCACGTCGACGTCGACGATGCACCGCCGACGTTGCCGGTGCATCGCCGGTGCATCGCCGGTGCATCGCCGGTGTATCGCCGATGCATCGCCGATGCATCGCCGATGCGGTGTGATCCTTCGACTCCATCTACTCCGACCCCATCTAGGAGGCCTCTAGCGCTGGCGCCCCCTGGCGGCGCCTCTGGCGCCCCCCTGGGGCGCTCCGCGCGCCAGGGAGGGGAGCCCAGCGCGGATCCGAGGAATCCGCGCGGACCTCCGAATGTTTACGTTTATGTGATTCGTCGTTCCCCTATATGTAAGTCGGGCCTGTCCCTCTACGGGGAATATCCAAAAATAGTGAAAACATAGTCTGGAGATTATTTTTGATTAGCATCTTTTGACAATTTTGGATTATTTTTGGTTGTTTTTAATTTTTCATCGTGAATCCTCCTGCAGGGGGACAGGCCCGACTTAACCCTTGATCTGTCTTCCTCGGGGGTGGACAGACCTCCTGCCCTGACACGTCGATTAGCGAATTGGCCGTTTCCGGTTCGCGAGGGGGCGCCGCGGCCGTCATTTTTGCGGGTCCAGGCCCGTCAGTGTCGGTCCCAGGCCGTGTTCACTAAAGGGAGGTTTATTAAGGGAGGTTTGTCCTCCGCCGAAGTTCGGGCAGGCTTGTTGTCGGTCAGCCACGCGCAGCTCGAGGGGGGGCGGGGGGGAGGGGGGAGGGCTTCTGAGA